CGTAATTTTATGAAACAGCAGTATTGTATACCGTTAAGTGCGCTGTGAAATTAATATATTGATGTCGTCGATATCTTATAGCGAAATGGAAAAAAAAGAATCTAGTCATTACACTACATATTTTCCCATATCCGTCTTTATACGTTGCATGCCGAAAAGTAACTAACTTTAATATGTCGTAGATAATGGCTGCATGTGTGAAGTTGAATATAATTTTTTTGAATATAGTTTCACGATTCTAACGTGTTAATATATGACCAACATTTCTTGTCTCCAGCGTTTCAATTTTCGCACCAATAAAATACAAAACAAACATTTACTTATATATTTAAATACGAAACAAACATCTATTCTATATTTCTCGTCAATTTATTTCTATACGTAACAAACATTACAGGGACAATTTATCGTAACACACGAAATAATAATACTCCACAATCGTGATGTACAAAAACAAAAACGTTTGGGGCGATTATTTATATACGATTAAGCGATTTCACGAATAACAATCTGCTTTATTATTATAATGTATTTGTGCATAATGTGTGATTGTTATAATTTTAAACTATGATAGACACTACACGAGATGCAAGATTTTTTGCGATGTTTTCTGTTACATATCATGTCGCTAATTTTTGTTCTTCTTTTGATACTGTGAATTCGGACTATGCTTCTTATGCTATGAATTATACACAAGTTTATATATAATGTAGCACACGTAATCGCGTATAATTATATAATTAAACACACAGTATATAATTATATAATTATCGACAGATACTCTTATAACATCTTGTATATATTTCTTTTAAGAATTGCAATCTAGAGGTGTAGATCTAAGGATCGTGACAATGATAAACAATTGTGGCTCACAGCGAGATCAAAGAGAATGTAATATTGTTAACGGAAAATGACTTTCAAGATAGATGTGATCTGAGTAGCAAGATAAATAAACTGAGATCATTTATATCGCACTAGCAGTAAAAAAGAGACTGTAACTAATCGATTCTCGCAGATATTGCTTTAGTATAAATCGTGGAACAAAATACTTTAATATACGAGTTCTATTATGTACAAACATCATCATACAAACATATCATGGAGAGACTTCGTACTCATTTGGAAGTATTACTGGAAAAACTATACAGCAAATGAAGATTATTATGCTCATGCTGTCTCTTTGCTACACAGGATTCAATATCTCTAGCTTGACTTTTAGCCTAAACGAACGAGCTAACGAAATCGCACGTTATTGTACGCAACGTTCGTATTTGTAAATGCTGTTTCACGCGATGTAAATCGGAACGATATAACTTCAATGATCTAGAATTATTTAATTTATCTCTATATACCAACAGGTATATTCATTTGTGAAACATTGTAAAGTGTATAATATAGCGGCTTATGCTCTATATATGCATTGTGGAATAACTATTATATATTTACCTATTTAATATCGTCACGATATTTTGCAATTCTTTGTTTCTTTTTTTTTTTTCTTTTACGTTGGCCGGTATCTCTCGCAGACGCAACGTTGAATTTGGTGCACGCTACTTAAATTAATCTGGTGGTAGAAAGCTGAATAGCCGAAACTGTTCTCTGATGTGTGGCCGTACGTCTCCTCCCTATGATAAAACATGAAAAACATCAAATTGAAAATCGAGATTTTTTTTTATGTCAAGTCTAACAAAAGGATGACGGAAGGAAAACTAGAACTTACCCAGTTCACCAGGTTTTCTAGGAACGGTAACAACTTCATTAGCTCGTTATCGGAGCGATCGGCGAACCAACTTTCTATAGGTATGCCATTTTCCAACTATAACAGAACATACATTATTTTTAATCAGGGGTGGAAGTATCGCGTTACTTGTATAACACTGTTACTGTAACTTTTTTTTAAATAACTTTAACGGTAAAAGTATTATTTTTTTCATTAGTAACGGTTAGAGATGAAAACGACTCAGTCTGAAGGTAACTTATTCGGTGATTTCGGAAAGTTGGTAAAATGGTAATTTAGAAAAAAATTACAGAGATAAAAAAATTTAGTATAAAGCTTAAAAGAAGCATTTAACATTTAAAATAAGACACTTTAACTCCATAAAATATTTTGATACCGTATATATCGATATACTATATATAGCATATAGTCATTAGGAAACTAAGTACATAGTAACTAGAGAAATTAAAATAAAATTTTTAAGTCTCAATTTATATTTTTTATATCTCGAAAACAATCAATCTATATTTTTCATGACAAGTTTATACCATTTTCACTTATTATCTTGCCGTTTCAGCTAGATTGTGATATATAATTGAAAATATTTAGTAGTATTTTAACAAATAAAAACTTTAATATTTTCGAAGAATTGTAAGAGTTATTAGTTTCCTTGCTTTCATCAGAGATATTTCAGAGATTATTATCAGATATATATTTGATAAAAATATAAGAAAAATGTTGTTTTGTTATGCATTAGTGCGAAAAACACGAATATTTGTGCATAAAACTATCAAAAATAATTAATTTTACTAAAATTATTAATAAATTACCATTTTACTGTAATTTCACTGCAAGTAATCATCACTTTGAATTTGACGGTAATTTTACATCTCTAGTAACGGTAAAAAACTAAAAACGATGTACGATTTTATACCATCTGATATGTATGTTGATTGTTAATATAGTTCACTGTATTCAATGCACGGTAGCGATTCATGCAGTGAACTAAACTGCTGATCAGCATGCATATAAGAAGATATGAAATTTTACATCGTGTGATATTCTAGCTTTTTTAACGAAATTACATTTTTTGTGTAACTATCAAATATAATTGTTATTTTTATGTGTTACTTTACACTATATGCGTTACTTTACACATATAAAATATATTATATATGGTACAAAAGGCATCGAATCATAAAGGAAAATTTTTAAGATTTCTGTGTTTACTCGCTACGACTATCTTAATTTATGATCAGAAGGGAGGAAATTCATACTAAAACTTTCTACAAAATATGTCGAAATAAAATGATATATCGAAAAAATAGCACTTGCAATAGATTAAGCATTTCTAACACCTCTAAAATTTTCTAAACACTTCTTTTGGTTTAACAATCAATAAATAATTGTAAAATTAACACGTATGGACAAAAATGGTAAATAAGGAAATATAAGTTGAAAAGGAAAATCGCATTAATTTTACGGTAATTTTATTGTTTGAACAAAAGGAAACATATTCCGAATATTGGGAGTATACTTAAGAGGGTATTGCAAATATCATTTTTTAGATATATTATTTTATTTTGAGATATTTTGCAAGAATTTTGGATATATATTTTGCACTTCTAACGTCATCAGTCTAGCGGCGAGTAGCTAGAAGTTTTAAGGGGAGATGCCACATTTGAAAACTTTACCGACAAAATATTGACATTTTTTTACAAAGTTTACATTGTATTGATTATACAGAATTGCAAAATGGTACAGTTTATATAGAATTGCAAATGCTTTTACACAACGGAATTATGTGTAAAAATTAATTAGAGCATTGCTCAATATGTGATAAAAACAATAAACAATTTCAAAGTTGACATCTGTCAATTAGCATAAATATTTATATATTATAAGAGTTTTTAGTAAATGTTCACTTTAAGGGAGTCACCTCCGATGACCTTGATCTTGACATATTATAAAGGTCATCCTCCTGAGTAACCTTCAAAAGATTTTAGCCGTCACTCGTTGTTTGTTAAAAAGTTATTAACAAAAGAAGTTGAACGTAATTTTTGCACACAGTGTATATAGAAATATGGTAAACAGTACACGCATATGCGCGGGGGAGGGGCTCCGCCCCTCCCCCCGCACTCCCTTCCCAAAAAACCTAACCCATCTATTGAAATATGGTAAACAGTACACGTATATGCGCGGGTGAGGGCTCCGCACTTTCCCTCGCACCCCCTCCCCAAAAATCTAACCTTAACCTAACCTATCTATTGAAATATGGTAAACAGTACACGTATATGCGCAAACAATATATGCATACTTTTTATCATGTTTCAGTAGATGGGTTAGGTTAGGATTAGGTTTTTTGGAGAGGGGGTGCGGCGGAGGAGCGGGGCCCCTTCCCGCGCATATACGTATATTGTTTACTATATTTCAATGTATATTGTACAGCAAAATTACATTCCGTTTATAAAATGTTTTTGTTAATAACTTTTTAATAAACAACGAGCACGGTTAAAACCTTTTGCATGTTACTCAGGACGATGACCTTAACAACATATGTCAAGAACAAGGTCATCGGGGTTACTCCCCTAAAGTGAACATTTACCGAGTTTTTTGCAACTTGTACACACCAAACGTGTATTTGATCTGCTCAGGACAATTTCAAAGAACATTGCTATACCTTTACAACTTAAGTTAATGTGTAAAAAATTTGCAGAAAAATTGCTATATATTTGCTTTAAATATGACAAAACAAAGCGGAACATATTTATATAAGATCTATATACAAGAAATATGAAAAGGATAACATGATAATTTAACTTCTGCGTTATCGACATTTTTTTATGTTCATCATCCACTTTGGTATCCTCTTAAAAATCCTGTAGACCGATTCTCTAACTTTAACGACAATGTCGCTAACATGATGTATCGTTATATAGCTTTTCTATTATGTATTATATATAACGATAACAATACTATCGTTAAGTGGATGCTGGAGTCGATGACGAACTCGAACAACGTCGATAATGCAGAGACGATTATCACTAACATAATCACGCTATCTTTTTTGTATTTCTTATATATCAAAAAACAGCCGTGTTTTAAGCGCAAAAGCGGAATCCGCAAAGGACCCGCAAATGTTTACGTTCCTGACCTGAACGCCCGTGTTATCTTACGTGAACTAACTAGTTGAGCGGAGGCAAGATTATATATTTCGTTATAATTACAAAGCTGATGCATTTCTGAGTAGTCTCAATCGATTTTTCGGGATTATATTACTTAATAAAACTGTCTTTTTACTTTTGCTCTGTCTTCTAAAATCAAGATTTCTAGTTCAAAGACGAAAATATCCAGATTATTACATGATCACGAATTGTTAGAAAATTGTGCATCTGAACCTTGTTCCGTGGGATGGCGCCACAAGAAGGATTGTGTATATGAACCTTATTCCGTGGGATGACGCAACAAAAGAGATGAGCTTAGAGACCCTATAATAATAGCTCAAAATAATAGCGACAGCCAAACAATATGCTGTTTTCTGTAATAATCTTTTAGCTCTTACGAAAAAACAACATATTGATTGGCTGTCGCGAGGACTTCCGCCGCGTAGCAAGCATTACCGCGTCCTGTATGCAGGAGCCATAAGAGTCTGGCCATCAGAGGAATTCTGGCAAAATTTTTCGAGAAAGAAAAATATATATTCCCTATCTCTTTCTGCAACCTATTCTTTTCTGTAACGTTCACGCATGCGCTTCAAACAGTCTACGCTGCTCTGAGGTTAACTTTTGAGAGTAAAAGCGAAGAAAAGATTAATCTCTGAAAGTTAAAAAAAATAATTGCAATAATAAATGCAGTAAAATATTGTGAAAATGAATGGATGTTCAATACCGTTTTGTAACAATTCGTCTAGGAAAGATTATATTATGAAACTATTTCCGAGAGATTCTGTACGTCGAGCATTATGGGTACGGAACATTCCTCACGAAAATTGGATACCAACAAATAATTCTTATTTTAAGCAATAATGTATGATAAAGTGTATTATGAGAAAATAATACATGTAGTATAAATTATAAGTAATGCAACACAATTTAATGGTACGGGTAAGGTTATTGTGATTCAAATATGCGCGGGAGTAGCCAGAAATTGCTGATCAATCAAAAACTGCGTTCTGATTGCCAGACTGTTATTAGAGGGTCTCTAGATGAGCTCATATCAGTCGATAGATCGATATATAGGGTATATCCACAGACTTCTATGGGTGCGTTCCGTTATATGCTCACAACGTCCACACTCGCAACGCCGGGAGCACTCGTTCCAGTAGCTTGGATGTGATAGCTAATGGAACGATATTTGAGCGTCGTGAGTGTTTCATTTTCGTAGATTTAGATTTCATATATCTTCTTCTTCAATATTTAACTCCAGACTTCACAGAAAGAAATATCGTCCCATTGCACTGTTGAATAAAATTCTTCGAAATAATATAATTCTGAGTAAAATTCACCAGACGCTCATCCACCTCTTCAGCGCAAGCGGTATGAGCGTTAGGAAGCTAGTTATAAAGCTAGTTACAAGTACGTAGTTACAGTACGTCGTAAACACAGTGAATGTCTAATGGAACGGCTTGAAGGGCGATTTGGGCGTTACAAGCGTATATGTAACAGAACGCGGCTTATATGTAAACTAGACTGCTAATACTCGTATTTAGCGAGCGGTCGGAAAAATATCGGGCAGCCATCTTTGAAAAGACCGTATCATATAGGAGTAGTAATGACACGCACTATAGCATATTGCTTCCTCCCATTCATACATTGCCACTCAAGTCACGTATGTGAGGTACTTTCAAAGATGGCGAACGATATTTTTCCGACCAAACAGTCCTTAACTAAACATATCTATTTAGCAGTTTAGATATTGGGTGCGTTCCGTTTCCACGCATAATGCGCATAAAACGCAGCGTTAGAGTGACAGAAATACGAAAGTAAGATAAAATGAGAGGGAGAGCACTCGGGTGAGGTTCTCGAACCTAGGTTAGGTTAGTTCTCGAACGCATGAACTGCATCAGCTCCGAGGTAATGTAGTCTATGCGATCTCATGCGTTCGAGAACTAACCTAACCTAGGTTCGACAACCTCACCCGAGAGCTCTCCCTCTCTTTTTATCTCACTCTCGTATCTCTGTCACTCTAACGCTGCGTTTCATGCGCATCATGCGTGGAAACGGAACGCACCCATTATATAAAAGTCTGTGGGTATATCATACCACCCGTGCCACTTCTTTTATTCGGCAACTGAGTGTCATACGGAGATGAACAAAAAATTTTTATAGAAAACCTTACCCATACAATCAATTGGTGCTACTACGATTTTCCGGAAAAAATTACAAGTGATCGAAACCGAAGAAAACTTCAAAATTTTAAATAGGAACATATATCGAATGTGATGTCACTCAATAGGTCTTTTCAAAATAAATAACTTTCATTAAAAACATTTTTTTATTATTTCAACTATTAACCGTGAAAAATAAAAAAAAAACATTTCGAATACGTTAACACGTGTCTCAATCCTTTTAAGCCTTTACTTTTCAGATTAAATGTTCGAACTGTCTTCCATTTTTAAGGCCGAATAAAAGAAATTGTTTCAACAACGCCCAATTACAAAAAAATATGAAGAAACGTATTCAAGCAGCTTGTCGATCTCTGTCAGCTGAAAAGATACTACGAGCATTAGACAACATCCGCCATAATGTACTAGTTTATTTAAATGTTAATGGAAGACAATTGCTAGAATACGTTCCTTCATATTTTTTTGTAGTTGGGCGCTGTTTATAAACAATTTCTTTTATTCGTCCCCACAAATAGAAGACAATTCGAACATTTGATCTGAAAAACAAGGGTTAATAAAAGGATTGAAACACGTGTTAACATATTTAAAACTTTTGTGTTTTAAATTTTTCTTGGTTAATAGTTAAAATAACAAAAAATGTTTCTAATAAAAGTTGTTTATTTTGAAGAGACCTATTGAGTGATATCACATTCGACATATGTTTCTATTTAAAATTTTGAAGTTTTTTTCGGTTTCGGCTTCACTTCCAATTTTTCCGGAAAATCGTAGTAGCACCAATTGATTCTATGGGTAAGGTTTCCTGTAAAAATTTTTTGTTCATCTCCGTATAATACTTGGTTGAGAATTCTAAAACATATTTTATTCCACAGTAAGATGGAATATTTGTAGGTAACATTGAAATTGTTATTGCAACTCGGGCGCGCCAGTTTTTTTTTGTGTTGTACGAATTATATAATATAATTATTTAATATAATTTTTTATACGCATTATTTTACATTAGTTTTAATAAAAGAGATGGCACGGGTGGTCTGATGCATAATGCCAATATAATGCCTGTATAATGCCAATAAGAAGCAGTGATTTGAGCCCGCGCACGCAAGAGCTTTTCTCTCTCCATTTACGCACACAGACCGTTTTGTCTATTTATGTGATGACGATTATCACATGGACAGGCAGAACGCTCTATATGCATAAGTGAAGGAAAAAAAATGCTTGCGTGCGCTGTCTTGAAATCGCATCATTGATGAGAAGACGGGAATTCGAGAGTTGTATGTTGAGATAAAGAAATTACGACAGAGAAAAATGTAATACATAAGTCGTGAATGAAAGACTATTGTTGTATGGACGCGATTATGTATACGTTTCTCTTTGATTACTTTACATCTATTATCATGTAGTCCTTGTACAAAAATGTGTAATATACCAAAAAACTTACCTTCTAAAAAAAGATAAAAAAAGCGCCGAGTTTTTGCACTCCGTACAAAAAACTAATGTAAAATAATGCGTATAAAAAATTATATTAAATAATTATATTATATAATTCGTACAACACAAAAAAAACTTGGCGCGCCTGAGTTGCAATAACAATTTCAATGTTACCTACAAATATTCCATCTTACTGTGGAATAAAATGTTTTAGAATTCTCTGAGATACATCTTAATGTTAACCGGGCGCGCCAAGTTTTTTTTGTGTTTTACGAATTATTTAACATAATTTTTTGTACGGATTATTTTACATTAGATTTTTGTACGGAGCGCAAAAACTCGGCGGTTTTTTTTAACTTTTTTTTAGTAGGTAAGGCGAGTTTTTTAATTCATCGATGGATCTATTGCATGATGCGTAAATACAGCGAAATATTGCATTTGCGCATTATGCGATGGATCCATCAATGTATTAAAAAACTCGACCGTAATACAAAATTTACATGAATGTGTGTTTCTTTGTTTTACCATATTCAACGGAAAACCTAATTATATATGTATAGAAATATTTTTGCAAACTTTTTCGATATTCTTAAGCTACTAAATGCAGATGTGAAGGTAAAGCAATGTTCTTCAAAATTTTTCTGTTTGGACACACAATTATTCTGTTTGGATCCACACTTTCGGTATGTACAAGCTACGGAACTTTTGGATTAGACAAATATTACGCTAACTAACATCTTGAGATTTTACATTCAAAATTTTTTGTTTGTTTTCGTCACACATCGAGCAATGTTTCTATTTATTTTTGCACCTACTTTCATTGCGTAAAAGCATTTGTAATTCTGTATAATCAATATGATGTAAACTTTGCAGAAAAATGTCAGTATTCTATCGATAAAATTTTCAGCTTTAGCATCCCCTTAAAAATTACAGAATCGGCTTACTGGATATTCGCCGTGGCCATGTTAGATCATAATATCAAAGGCGAGAGAAGACTAAACATTTTTGCGTGCCATTTTTAAATAAAAAGGTATCTTAATGAAAAAATACTTCAGATCGTATAAACATACTTGTATAATCTCCAAAACCTATCCTTTTTCCTTGACTAAAAAAATTACTTTAAAAGTAACATGATCAGATACGAAAGGTAAGTTAAAGAGCAAGATTACATGTCATGTTAATTTTAAATCTATTTATTAAGTGTCAAGAGAAAATAATAGTTTTCAGAACACTTTACAAGTGTCCTCAAACTATATGAAGCGTTCTTTCATACAAATATCTTTTTATTTAAAAATAGCACACAAGAATTTAAAACACAAATTTTTTGCTTCTGTCGTTATCATTAATCATGAATTCCGCGACGAAGGAAAGCAGGAGCCTTAATACTTGGTAAGAAACGTGGTTGAAATTGTAATAACTTGTTACTATTTTTCAATGAATAATAAGCAATAGTAACACGCGAATTATATATATATAAAAAAAAAATAGCTTTCCCAATTATACTTTTAACCCTTTAAGAACAAGAGTCGCAAATGAGCTATCTAATAGGCGAGAATCGCTTGTTAACAATAATAAGTATTCCTAAACAATTTTACCTTATATTGAAACATTGTCGACATGCCCTTTTTAAAATTTTATTTGATATTTAGGCCTGGGTAACTACAATGTAAGCATGTACTTAAAGAGTTAAATGGTTTAAAAAATGTACTAGAGTAACAAAATTTGCGCCATTTACCTGATATCCAAACGCTTGCGGACTGTTGTCGATGATCACAGTCTTCGATAGGTCTCTGCCCAAAATGGACAGATCCTTGATGTAGTTGCCGTTGACACAGACGCAGTGCTCGCGAAACAGACGATACTTGATCAGCTTTCGTGTCGGATCCAGCAGATTCATCAGCTTGTTGGCGTACACTCGTTTGCTGGCCGTGAACAAGATCACCTCATACAACGAGGACACATGTTCCAGAAACTCGCGGAAGAACGGTCGCGTTCTCACGAACACCGTGTACGTAACGTCCTGAAAAACCACCGGGAAGCGAAACGCCGCGTCCGACAGTTCTTGTAAGCTGCAATGCACCAATGTCTCGTCCTGCAAAGGATAACTGTCATAAGCTCGCCGCGTTATCCCAGACATTTCGCGCGTTCACTCTACTTCTCGCTCTCACATATCTCTCACGTAAAAATGTAATATGCGCAAGAACGTGCACGCGGTAATATCGAACAATTTATGTAAAAGATGTGTGTGCATGCGTGGTATAGATATAGCACGAGCGTACCAGATCCAGAACCAAACTGAATTCCGGACTGCTCCTCGTTTTGAGAGGCAGCGCGGGACATCTGGCCCTCATCGCCGGCGTGAGCGGCGGCAAGTGCTTGATAAAGACGTAAGGATCGAACGGTTCCCAGTCCTCTTGAACTTGAGTAACCATGTTCTCTACATCGCACGACTCTACTATCTCTTCGTTACCCACCTCCATGTACTCAACCTCGTGATAACGACTCTCGACGTCCTCAGAATCATATTTGTCACTAAGATTGCCATTCGTATCGGATGGATGATGAGGATTTATATTGTACATACTTGCTGATATACTGTACTTTGCACTGCTGGAATATCCAGCAGTTGCTTCATATTTTGTTGGGTCTGTTTCAATAGCATATTGATCTTTTGCGAGATCACCGCGGTTTTCATTGTTATTGACAAGGGAGTACTTCCCGTTCGGGAAGTACTTGTTATCGTGTGACGACGAGTACGCGTTACGGCCGTTGTACGCCGACGTCGAGTGCATCAAACTGTAATATTCTACGGACGTGTCGGCGTGCGCGTACAGCGTGGAATAGTATATCGACGACGGTAATGTATCTACGAAAAAAAAACACGAAAAAATATAACTCTATTATCATTATAATCGAAGAAACGTGTAACATTATTATTATTATTAAAACAGTAATAAATTATAATGACCCTAGATATAAAATAAAAAATTAGAAGAGAAAATAAGCGACTATTTTTCTACTTTAACTAGCGATTACTTTTGTTTATTATTTACTGAAGAGAACCTAAAGTAGGTCAAAACATATAAGATTTTGTTTAATGTAATTATTTCTGATTGTACTATTAAATCTAGACTTTTAAACGCTTTTCTCTTCTAATTTCTTTTTGATTATCATCATTGTTATCGTGATTATGAGCGAATTAGTAAAAATAGTATACCGTTGCTACGGCTTCCCTCGTCATCTAGTAAACATGTGAGATCCGAATGCGATCCTAAGGATACCGGAGGCATTAGATAGGTCAACGGGGATACGCTCGGCGTAGAGGACTTGAGCTCATGTGTCGGCGGTATCATCGAACAACGCGAGTCCGTATTCGTTGTCGACGGACATAGAGGCAAAGCAGCGGCAGCAGCAGAGGTGACGGCTGTGGCAGCGGCGGCGGCTGCAGCTACGACGGTGGCGGTGGCCGAAGCGGCGGCGGCTCCGCTCCCGTTCCAGTTCTCCTTGGACTCCTCTGAGACTTTAGAGGGTGTCGCGGTTTTCGTAGGCTGCAAAACGCGCGCGTCGTGTTAATATCTCTGTGCTTTATATACACCATATACGGGCCATCATATGTCATCACGGTTGGGTAAGTTAATTTCTCTCTTTAATCAAATTTAAAGAACAATGGCTCTCAGAGACGAAAACAAATTACTGAAATTATGCTTAATTTTTTGTGTTCTGTATTGTAAGCAACCCACAATGTGTGACAACTTTAACATTGATAAATTATCTTAACTTACATAAAAAAAAGAGTTAATGACCATTAATTATTGCAAATAAGCTAAAAGTTAATTCATTTGAAGCTAATTAAGTTAAAAGTAATTAACTCTTAACTGATTAACTAATTCTTACCCAACCCAATGATCATTTTTAGACCACGGTCGCGATACTCTTTCGTATTATGAGTAGAGCTTACAATAACCGCGTCTATCGGAGGAGCACGATGCAGAGGAGTCGACGTAACCATTGATCGTTTTATGCATTTTCTTCTACGAGGTCCTCTCTCTCGTCTAATAGGTGTGGATTTGGCAAAATGTAAAACATTCTCTTTACAGGCCTACGAAGATAACAATCTGTTTTTAATATCCTCTCTGTGTGCTATTTGTTAAACCAGTATATATTGCTGGCTTATTTTTTGTAAAGTTTGTTTTAATAAAGAATGAGGTACAAATGACCTGCAAAGATCATTTACAATGAGCAACGCAATAATAACACACAGCTTATCAATAACAATTGCTTTTTGGCGCGTGGCTTCAACGAATAATGCAACAATTGAGCATTAAACAAGTCACGACTTACTTCTTTTAGGAAATTGGACGATCTACGTCGCCACTGGCTCAGTCTGCCGCATCTGCTCGATGTTATAACTCGACTGGTGCTATTAATGCTTGGTAGTTTCCGTGCTGTACCAAGTTGTGTTCGGTGGCTGGTTCCCTTTGAAGCTGACACACCGCTTAAACTTAAACGGCCGCGCAGTCTTCTACTTATTCGTTCGCTTCTTAGCCACATTTCAACCAAATTAAGTGTCCTAAAATGATAATAAAAACGTTCTTACAAATACCACAAAAAAAGATTGATAAAAATAAGCCAAATAAAAAATATTTGATGTTTAATTCTTTTTCCGTTCAAGAGAATTAATCATGAACTTCTCATGTAAACTCGTGAGAAATAAAAAATTTAACTTTGAAGAGATAAAAATGTCCACTTTTTACGAATTTATGTTGGAAGAAAAAATTCATGACCGCCTCCAAGAACGTTATACCAATATAAGTAAAAATTATATTTTTTAACTCTTTATTTCAGACCCAAAAAAATTTAAGGGAACAAATTTTTTTGCGTTTAAATGAAGTAAATAATATCTTCTGAATGCAATTATATTGTTTTCCGATTATTTTGAAAATATTTTCAATTATTTTTGTCAATTACAAAAATCTAAACTATGCAATAAACAAAACAGATATGGTCCAGAGTTTCAGTACTAAATAAATATAACTTGCATCTATTGTTCTTGCATATAGCTCATAAAAAATCATTGTTGCTCAAAAGCAACATTACCTAACAAAAATGATCAACTAAAATATTATTTATGATATAGCTTAAGATATATAGTTTAAGACTTTTATAAGAGTCAAAACACAGGTATTCTATTGCTATAAATTAAATAATAAAATCTTCATAGTCCTTGTTGGAAACCGTATGTACCGATTTTTTCAACCTCTTGATGAACTAATAGTTACATCATGTCTGTTTTGGTCTAATTTGAAGGAAAAACAAATACAGACATACCAAAAAATAGAAACTTGTCTCACGTGAAATATTCAGACTTAAATTCAGTTAGATTTCAATTTTTTGGGTAAATCATACAACATACGTGACATTACATTTGTAATAGTTATTCCATCGAAAATCTCACATCTAAGTCTAAATTTAAATTAGGAAATCTCACTTTAAATAAGTTTCAGATAACAATTATTAATATTATTAAGCTTAAATACTTTTAAGCTAATCAAACTTATAAATCATATTTAGAAGCGTCGATAAAGAGAAACTAGAATAAGGGCCTATATGTCTCGCAATGCAGACAGACACTTTAATTGTTCAGATCCAAATCCGACACAGAATCAAAACGTCCGGCAATTAAAGAGTTTGTCTACATATATGAAACAAATTTAATTTAGAACATTAGAATACCCGTGCTTTAGTTCGTACAGAGAAAAATCGTTATACTTGACAGAATGATCGCGGCGGATCAGTCGCGATGGCGAAAGCATCAAGGAACGCGCAGAACGGAAATAAAAAAAAAAAAAAAGACTGAAATTACAGTAGCAGTTTTAATCGTGGAAAAACCGATAGACATTAATGAGCCATTTTTTCTTTTTCATTATTTTTTTTTCTCGGAAACATCAGCGGCCGCGGGATCTCGCGCGCGCTATCGATGTCTCGCGCCGGGCAAGATTGCGCGGGAAAGAAGTTCGATCGTTTCGTAAAAAGGGGCGTTCCACAAGCGTCATTGTGTGTGCGCGCTCGCGCACGTCGCACGCCAGCCTAAAGGACGCGACGCGCGCTACTGACGCACACACCATACACATATATTCACATGTAACGCGCGCGTATATCACACGCGCATACACGCGGATGTACGACGCGCACTTACACACTCGTGAATCGTATATCGATTTACATGCGGCGCAATGTCCGTGTATTGCGTCTCGGCGATTTCGCCGGGACGGAAAGACGTCTCGCGTAGGGCGAACGCCGTCGCGGCACCAATTTGCCCGCGTCTCAAGAGTCTCCTTTACCTTTCGATCGAGAGAGAGAGAGGAGGGAGAGGCACACACAGTTTCTCGAGAATGCGTTGCGCTGCGGCGCAGGCGGAGGCGGCGGCAGCGGCGACGGCGACGGCACTTCGACCGTGACACCTGAAAATCCGCGCGAAAATCGGCCGCCGGCCGCGGCGGACTGGCCGGACGCCGGGCGTTAACGGTACTCGCGGCTGCTTACCATGCTCGCGAGTCGGCGGCCGAGACGCTCGCACGCCGGCACGAACGAACGCACGCGGCACGGCTCACACACACGTTTCATTCAAATCTGTCCGAGACGCCGTCGAGTACACTTTTCATCCCTCCGAAACTATACAAACATGGCGACGGCGTCACCCGCGACTGGTACTCGCAACTCAAGCGCAACGCCGCATTAATCCGCGAGAGAACTCGTTGTAGCTGGTGCGTGTTACGCGATAGTTGTCTCGTCATTGGAACATTGGCTGCACGATGGTCGAGTAGTTTTCTCTTTCGAGTAACGATCTTCAGGTGTTCGATTGTTGTTTTGATCCCACAGAATTTCCGCTTGGCGATGCGCCACCCATCACTTCCGGCGATAGGAATTTCTAGCGATTTTGTGGTTGCTGTAGACCTCTGCGCCGCCGCGCTACGCCGCTGCCGCCGCCGCGTAAAATTTGACTCCGCCGATTTCGCCGCCGCCGCCGCCGCCGTTATTGTCACTAGCCTGGTTTACATCGTGCACTTGATAAGCATACTAATAGCATGTTCGACTGGCTCTGGGTTAACCCACTCTGGGTTATTCAGCCTACGTTTATTGGTCGAACAAGTACTTATAAGTTTTATGATTGGTTATTAGAGACTTATGACGTCATTAATCGCTCTCGGAGCGATTAACCCAGGGCCAGTCGAACACGCTATAAATAGTAACATTCTATTAGATAATCTTAATATCGACAATGTATATCAACGGCGACGCATTCAATCAATATAATACGTTTTATTGATGAGTATTATATCAGCTTAATATAGTTGTTTATATATATCGTCGATGTTAAGATTATTTAATATAAAGTTACTATTTAATACGCGTATCAAGTGCACGATGTAAACCAAGCCATTGACGCGCCGCTGAGCGTT